TAGCTTGGCGGAGTTCAAACGTGCGCGTAACTCAGGTGACTGTCGGCAGTCGGGTTTGTGGACGGTTCGGTCGACGGGGTAACATCAAAATTGGATCTGTCTGACATGTCGGTGTAAGTCGGTGTCAACCAAGTGAATTGAAAAAGACTGGGCGAGTTGACCGTCTACTCATTAGTGGCGTTTCTTCGGTATCGATTTCCTACTATTTCGAACGAGTATAACTTCCGCTTCGCTATAGAACCCAGGCAGGAGACAGAAAGACACAGCAAGTACAGAACGTGCGTAATCTCTCCGTCCAGATCAACGGAGATATCCTCACAGATGACAATCAAATCTAGGCCAATGCATATACTTGGATCGGAATATAATTCAACACCTTGGAAATCTGCGAATATGTATTTCGGTGGAGAATGAGAGGGGAGACAAGCTATACAACAACCGTAATGTTATTTTCCCGGCCACAGATCCCAGGCATTGTGTACCACCTCCGCACTCAGGCCTTGTGCTGCACGACACTAGGGTGGTGTCCTAATTCCATTTGATACAGAGGGGCCTGAGAAGGATCCCGGACGTTCCGGGATCCTTCTCAGGCCTAATGTGCGCTGGCCCATTCGATAGAAGCCTACGCGGATTGCCACTCGTGATTCCGGCTACCGGCATTGCCCTGAGCTGGTGGGCAGCCTCAATATTGGACCCTCGGCAACCAAAACTCTTTCAATCGCCGCCATGGGGTACCGTAGTATTCTGTCACACGTCACCCCAGTTCATTTTCGATGTTCACACCTGGGCAATCATGGGAAAACTACCAGACATGGCAGTCCGGCGAATGCCGGAGCAGGAAATTTCTCTGGATGAATGCAGTCAATTTCTGACGGGCGGGGATCTTGCGAGATGCTTACTAGAGGTCTACTAAGGGATCATTAGGATCTGGATTTCCGTCGCCAAACCTGGTCAAAAACCCCAAACTTGCATGTTGAGCTTGATAATTGTAGGGTAACACATTCAATTGGAGCTCAACCTGTCGCAGTACTGCGTCGACAGGTGTGAACAATACCAGTTGCTGCATTCCGCTGAAATAACCCCAGCCAAGAAGTGACTCTGAAGACTCACTTTCCGGTCTGGCCCGCTGCAGTTGACAGATCTAGAGCTCCCCGGCGAGATGGACAAATCTTTTCACGATTAGGAAGTGACGTAGGAGGGGTCCGTCCTGATGAGAATATGAGAACAGTTTGCAGGATATCGGAACTGACTTTTGCCTACAGTTTGCTTTGGGCATGGATCCCCATGGAGTCGTCTTCATATAGCACGTCCATCCTGGTAGCACCATAATAAGTTTGGAGGGGTTTTGCTCACAGGTTGACGGCACTTACTCCCGAACGTAGCCAGCGATGTCGAGGGCGGAAGATTTTCTGTCCAGCGAAGACACTGGGGAGAGAAAACGTACGGAGGAGGCTATCGTGGCTCGACTTTGGCCATATTACATCCCCCGGGCCTACTCGACGGAACACCAGATTGATGGGAGATCGGGGAAGGACAAGCACAAGGTGAATGAGCAATTGAGGTCTACCGCCCCGATCTTCATCCGCAGAATTCTTTCTTCGGTTGACAACCAGATTAGACCGCACCTCGGTTCACCACGGCGACAAATGGATGAGCCCACAAAGGATCTCGGAACCAATGTCCGACACCCCGCGCAAACACAAGTCAGTAAACGCAGGGCTTTTCACTCCAGAAACAAGAACGCTCATAAGTTAGATGGGTAGGATAGTTCAGCGTATGTACAGCGCGGAAGCAAGCGCAACATCGCGATCGCGCAGGCGTCGATAGTCCCGCGGCGGCGGGATTGCGGCGGGAGAGTGGGATATCTGTAGAGGGGGATCAGCTTCTAATTTGGATTTTGTGTCAAAGCGGGACCGAAGTCGAGGAAAACGAAACGAATATTCGAATATCAAGGAAAGAGCAAACACACCTAGAACGTCTCCTCCTCGTCGACCGCGCCCTCGCCCTCCGGGACCTCGAAGCCTTCCTGAGGGGTGCGTCAGCATGGGTATCGGAATGACAGTGCCACCAAAAAATATTTATGGGAGGGGCAAAGATTTATTGCAGCAGTGGCGTGGCACACGACCAGTATAAGATGAGGGCAAGGAACCTGAGACATACCTCCGTACTGTACAATATCGTCTGGATCGAGCGCAGCGTCTGGTCGTCCTGCCCGGCCGCCTCGAGTGCCTCCGTCTGCTGCTGTACCAGGATCTCGATCTCGCGGAGCTAGTCGCGTTGAAAATAAAAGAAATCAGCATGAATCAACCATCTCACGAACCCAGCGCACGCACCTTTTCGAAATAAAAGTCGCGCTCTTTCTCGAGCCCCTCGAGCTGGGCGGAGAGCTCCGCCACCTGCCCGGTCAGCGCCTGCACCGCGACGTTCGGCGTGCCCGCGCGATGCCCGCTGACGGGCGTCCGCCCGCCCGCTCTCACGGCGGCATGCCCTGCGGCGCCCGAGACCGCCGGCCGCGCGGGTGCCAGCGTGGCCGGCGGGTCGCCCGGTGCGCCCTTCCGCCTGGCCACGGCATCGTACTCCCCGCCGGCGTAATTCGCGTCCCAGAACCGCTTTATCCACTGCAGAAACTCGAGGTTGTCCCTTTTTTTCATTTCACCCAGTCAGTCAGCCGCATAAACGGCAGCATAAACGCAAAAAAAATTGCAAAAAATCGGCGCTCACTGCATCTTGCACTTGATCAGCTTTTCGACGGGTATCGGCTTGTCGATCTTTTTGGTCTTGAAGACGTTCTGCATGATCTTGTAGTTGGCGAGGTACTCGTACTCCTGCTTCGCGGCCATCTTGACGCGCGCCATCGGGACGTCGCCGTAGATCGAGTCGAGCACTTGGAGGTATGCGCCACCGGCGCCGCATTGCTCGACCTTTGTGTAGTTTATCGCGAGCAGATCGTTGAGCCACTGCAGCAGCTCCATGCGCGATGCGCCTGCCATCGTGATAGTCCTGGGGGAAGCGAAGGTGTGTCAAGGCGGTGTGACCGTGAGAAAGATAAACAAGGACAATCCGAACTGTGATCCGAATCACCCTTGTCCCAAACTACCGCAGCCGTTGAATCCGTCGCGACGCATTCAGCGGCGATTCTGCAAGAGATAGCAGGCTCGGGGCACGAAAAATGGCCCCTGAGGTTACAATGTTCTCTACGCAGCCATCTCTGCTTTGTATTCCCGCACAGGTTGAAAGTGCACCATCCCAGATCTGTCTTTCAATCCGCCGACTCTTTCACTGTACTTGTCCAGTGCATCGTCACCCTGGCGATCGGTAATTTTAGGTGCCTGTGTGGCGATTCCGCTTTAATACCCAAGGTCGCTTGCTGTCATAATTGCGTCAGTATTGTAGACGAACACCCGTAACCCCCATCGACACATCTCATACAATGGAACACTTTCCCACGCCAATTCGAAGTGCATTCGGTGGCCGCGGACCTCTATGGTGTCTTCTCAACAATATCGCGCACGTACACGAATTGCTTCCCTACCAAGATGTCGAGAGCAAAGTGTGGCGCGAAGAACCCAAATCGCGGGGCATAGGCGAACGTAGGCTGGAGTGTAAAGGAGCAATTTCGAGTTGGAGAATATCGATGGCAGTCTTGAGAAAAAACGACGCCGTGAGGGCGCAAGAGGGGGTGTAAAAGGATGTCGATCAACAACAGCGCGGCCGCGTGCGTTTTTCCCTCCTAGCGACTTCGTTTACGGTCGCGCCTGACGTGCTCGATCCTCAGAACGGGCTCTAATTCGAATTTGGAGCCCGTCTGCATCGGGAGGCGACCCAATTGCTTTCAACTTGAGATTCGAGATTACCTTGACGCGGCGGATTGGACGAAGATGACATCCTCACTTCGATTCATATCCTGGTTCTCGTACAATCGCCCCATCCCACGTCCAAACATGAATGTTCCTCGAAATCGCAAACCTTGTCTCTCCTTATCCGCCGGTAAGAAATTTAGGTGCCCTGGCGGTCTCGGTGTGTCGGGACAGCTCCACCCTCAAATTCCGCCCCTTGTGCCAATTTACCGCCCAAAGAACCCTGGAGCAGCTCAAATCAACGATTACGGGGGCCGAGAAATGAAGACCTTCGTCAGTGAACAATTGAGGTGACGGGTGATATACCGTGAACCTTTGGTCGAAATATCACAGTAGTCACGATACAAATTCAGGTACAAAATTCGCTCCCAATAAAATATTGACATATCATTCATCTCACCGTAGAGCCCGGATCAAATTGCCGCGGTATGTACAATTTGACATTGCATCCTCCGAAATCTGCGCCAGGTGTTCAGAGACCCAGAGACGGAGGAATTATATGAACGCACGGATAGGATTTTTACACCCGAGAGAAACCACCTCGGGTTCTCGGCCGAGGCCATGGCAAAGATCGACAAGCCTGGCAGGTCGGAAAGCCGAATACGCGGCGTAGTAGTCCTAAACGTCCCACAAGATCGATACGAGTGAAAAATGGAAACGATCTCGGACCGCCCCAAGGCACTTGTGACTTGACAGTTTCAGATGATCAACGATGTAGAGGTTCGAAAGATTATTGCGGAAAGTATACCGAATCTCGGCATGGCGGAGGGAGGGTCCTATTTTTATGGGGATGCTATTAGGAAGCTCAGTGATTGATGTGAGGCTGCTCTTTTTTCGACATTTTCCATTATCCATGACTTCCTATTATCCCACGCATGATGCGTGTAGTACCCCGTAGATGTCAAGTAAATGTTCATGTGGGTTAGTTCAACAGAAATATTGAACTGGAATCACTGAAGCGGCTCTCCGTTTGTATAATAGAGGAATGAGGAAAGCACACAGACACGAGTGGTCAATTCAAATTAATTGCGGGTGAGTGGCCCCTCCGTTAAACGTCACGTGATCGTCGAAAATGAATAAATATTCCTTGGGGAGTGCGCTATTGTACGAGCAGTATCTAGGAGCGAAAAAGGGGAAACAGGCAGACACTACCGTGGTTCGAACACGGGACCTCCCGATGCCAGACAATTGCAATCGGGCGCTCACCCACTGAGCTTCAGCGCCGTGATGAGCCAGTCCCATTAGCTCGATAGCCCACGGAGTTTGGGCCCATCTCTGGACCTCCATCGACACATGGACATCGTGCGGTCGAGGGGAGGGTACAGACTTCCCCTTTATTTAGCTCGACAGTCACGCGTCGTGACCATTGTTACCTGTCTCTTTTTAAATTTTCAACCTGAAGTTGGCTGAGCACAGATTGCCCATTAGTATAGTGCAGCTTGCGACTAGACTGAACATGTCCAGGGTGCGAAGAGCAACCATCCTGTGGCTGTCCCGACCCAGGGCCGCAAAATCACAAGATATGATCTCATTCTGCGACGTTATGGGTCCATATGAGTCCAAATGACGCGAACTTCGCGTGATTCTGGCTGATTTTCGTATTCCGCCCCTTCATCATCCTGGTCGATACTCATCCATTGAGATGGGTTAACTGAAGGTAAACAATTACGGAGCCCCTCCGCCCTGGCGGGATGTTGAATCCCCCATCGGACGATGAATTAACTATCACAAACTTAATGTCGCCCTGTTTCAACGACCATACTGGTATTTTCGGCATTTTCGATAGTTCTGGACCCTATCTCACACATTCACCTTTTGAGAAACGAAGCTGGTGAGGTTCGTCTTTCTGAGCGAGGGGTACGTATATTAATTTATGTGGCCAGATTTTTCTCCTCGTTCTCCCAAGGGATGGGCCGAATGTAACACTAGATAGGGTGAGTGTTCACCTTCTCGTGCAATTTCCATGTGTTGAGCTCATCTGGCACAGCATCGAGGAAGAAATTCAGTTGCATCATGGCGAGGAAGAGGTGAAGTTCGATGACCTGAAAAGTAGGCAAAGTGAGTGGACCAACGGGCAAAATAGACCATTTGTTTTCCAGTCCGAACTTCTAACCGTCGCTGCCAGCTGGTGAGTCATGCTTGACTGTGATAAATGTAGGGTGCTGTTTATACTCCCATTGTTTCAAACAGGTGCTTATAAACCAGTTTTTATATGGGTTGGGCTGAACCACTGGTTTTTGGTTCAATCTACCAGCACCTAGTAGGCCTAAGCTGCCGTGAAGTTGAAATAAGGAATGACCGCCGAAAGTTCTTCTGATCTTCGATGAAGGCCAAATTATGCGAGGTTGAGCATATTTCACCATTTAAACTCACATTGAAACCTCCACTAGGTCAAAATCAATGATTTACGGAGTCTCCGGTGCATAATATTCCTTGATTCGGGACGTTTGCCCGCCTTCCGAGAACCAGGGGGCGGAAGTTGGCTGAAGTACCGTGATTACGGCGGATTAGGTGAGTGTTTTTAAACATGTTTATCGTCAAAAAATTGGTGAAACAACTTTTGATTTTTTCACTTCATTTTCACCTTGAGTTCAGTAGAAAAAAATGCGAAAGAAACATCTTAACAATGTCACAAACTTGATTTCACATTTTTCACTTTGATTTCAATTCAAAAAAGTGGTGAAAAATGTTTTAAAATTTTCACTTCTTTTTTCGGTGAAAAATGCCAATAAATTGAATGACATTTTTATCAATTTTCTCACTCAAAAGATTGAAATGTTACGCCAGTGATATTTCGCATTTTTCACCTTAAGTTTCAGTCAAAAAATGCGAAACAAACATCTTAACAATATGACCAACTTTGTTTCGCATTTTTCGCTTTGATTTCTTGTCAAAAAATTGGTGAAAAAACTTTGACTTTTTTCACCTTCAGTCAAAAAATGCGAAAGAAACATCCTGGCACCATTACAAACTTTGTTTCACATTTTTCACTTTGATTACAAGTCAAAAAAGTGGTGAAAATGTTTTAAAATTTTCACTTCTTTTTTCGGTGAAAAATGGCTATAAATTGAATGACATTTTTCATCAAATTTTTCACTCAAAAATGTGAAATGTTCAACCAGTGATTCTCTGGCCCTGTCAGATGAGCCCTTGCAACTGTCAATCTTGAAGTATTCCCTGTTGGAGAAGGACAACACCTGGGTTACAAGAGTGTGCCAGGGTGCTCTGTGCCCTGGCACTTCACCTGGGACCCCACTCTGAATTCGGAGCGAAGGCTCTCAAGGACTCGGTGGAACGAGCTGGCTCACCACTCAATGTGGGCAGTGCTGTCAGGGCCAGACAGAAAGGGTTACAAAAGGTCAGAGTTTTGTGACCGGTCCGGGAATCTGACTGGTCTGACCCTCGGGTCAGACGCGTCAATTCCCAATGTAGAATTAGTTCACACGTTGTATTTACACAAGGCATCGACACGTCCTTCCCGTTCTTTCGCGCTCTTTTTGACCGCCACTCTCTGCCTACGCGTCCGAAACTCTGAGGCTCTCCCACACGAAGTTCTTAAATCCCATCTGGGAACTCTTCGAGAAGGATGACAAGATGTACAAGGATAACCAGACAAACCATATTGTGTGGTGTAAAGCCTGTATGGAGGCTTGTGAGGTAGAGCTGCGGCAGGAGGAGATCACCGCTGTGGCTCGTGGTGGTCCAGTACCGCCTGCGAAGACACAGGAACAATGGACAGCTGCAGGTGCGTTACTTACTACCACGGAAACTCATTCTGTACTCACGGCAATGATTGCAGTTTTAGCATCCAATAGAATTCAAGGAATCTGCGGGAAAATTGAAACCATGACAACACACGTCAAGAACTGCCCAGCTATCAGGAACTCAACGGAGAAAATTGCTCGCCGCGACAAAGTTATGATACGATCCACCGCTGCTACTGCCACTGCTAGACGTAGCCGCAGTGTGAGCTCTCAGTCCCAGCAACCCTCATCATCACACCATGCTACTCCCAGTCCGAGCTATCAATTTCCCTCTCTTCCCCTGCTGTCCCCACATTTTGAAAATCAATCTCTTCCATTTTCGTCGAGCTACGGTCCGAATCTGTCTCCTCTGGGCGGATTTAACACGCTACGGTCCCTCTCCCACAACGACTCATTCTCCCCCACATCTGCTTTCGCACCCTCGCCATCTCCGTCATTTCATGAGGAAGAAAGTCAGTCATTGAAACAACGGCGCAGTTCGTATGCAGGGCAGCCGAGTCCAGTCTGGACACCAGGAAAACAGGCCGAGTTCGGTGAGGACCTCTGCAAATTATTTGTAACCTGGGGCTGGTCTTGGAACGCTGTTGCCAATCCCGAATTCAAATTGTTCTTCGCCAAATACCTTCCTGGGGCGACTCTCCCCATCGACGCGTCCTTTCCGGCAGTATTCTGACAGGCGAAGCCAATAAGGTCATCACTAAGACCCGCGAAAAAATTGAGGGCAAGCTTGCAACCTATTCCGAAGACGGATGGAAGAATGTAGCACATACACACGTCAACACCTCGATGCTTAGCGTTGAAGGACAGGTATTTAATCCCATAATTGTGTCTAAATTCTTTCTCATCAATCTCTGGCTAGCCGTACCTTTTCCGCACTCACGATATGACGGGTAGACCGGAAACTGGCGACGAGTTGTTCGAAATCATGAAGAGTGATTTTGAATATGCTTGGAACACGTACCGAGTCGAGATCATTGCCGTATGCACTGATTGTTGTGATTTGAGCTGTCCAAATAGCTTGGTTCACTCGACTGTTAGGTCTGGGTTACAATCCACTGGGGCTGTAGGCTCCAGTGGCTATCTTATATACTACAGAATGTATCTTCTACTACTCTCGGGTTATCTTATCAATATTATTAGTAAGCCCTTCGGTGACACTTCTGGCTCACATAATAACAACACTGATGATGGCCCAGACGGCAAGAAGGCACGCCGGTTGGTCTCACGATGGAAACCTTCCATTGCCGTCTGGGAGTGTTGGGCCCACCAGAGCAGCTTGATGACAGGTAATTACCTTGCGATCAAGGCGCCCTGGATGCAGGATGCAAAACACGCAATCGAAGTCATCAAATGGTTTAACAACCATGGAAAAGCTTTCGATCTGCTTCGAGCTCAACAAAAGTCCATCATGATTGTCATTCTCCATCTGATCCTTCCTGTCGTCACTCGCTGGACTGCGCATTACTGTTCCCTACAACGACTGAAAAAGCTAGAACGGTCGATCCGTGCGTGTGTCATGACTCATGAGGAGACCCTTCGCCTCTGTGCGGGAAGGAAACCAGAACAAATAGCAGCAGCGGAGGTAATTATAGAGACGTGTAAGCGGAATGAATTTTGGAAAAACATCACGCGGTATGTGCATACGCCTATACCGACACACATGTTGATTCGTTCTTGTTATAGCATCGTAACTCATCTGGAACCGCTTGCAATCACAGCTAACATATTGCAATCTCCGCACTGCCGCCTCGACACAGTCCTTTTTACTGTTATATGTCGAGTCAGGCCAAGGCCGAGGAAGTCCGACCTTGGAGTTCGCGGGTTCTCGCAACACTACAAGGAATAGAGTGAGCGACTATTCAGGTCCGCAGTTCCGCACAAGACTATAGTCTGGAGTCACGGAGTTCGGAGTTCGGAGTTGAAGTCCGAATAGAGGATGAAGACAGAGGCTCGACCAACGCCGAGATAGCGAAGAAACAATCAATAATCAAACTGAAGTACAAAACATATCTAACTAGCTTTTAAAACTAAGTACGCTATTGTCTATTGAATACAATAGCGTGCGAGATATTGGTAAGTAAGAAACGTTAAACAATAAGGTAGCAAGGTGACTTAGTAAGGTTAAACAATAAAGGACTTCGGGCTTGGTAAGGACGCCCGAGAAAGAAGTCGGACTAGACAATAAGGCCTCGGAGAAATACAAGTCCGTCGGCCCGATGAGTAATCAGTGATTAGAAGGGAAACGCTCAGTAGACCTTCATAGCGTGAAAACCCTCTCGGGAATTGCCGGACCGGGCCGGCCGGGCCGGCCGGTCCGACAAAGCACGGATATAACAGTATCCCCCTCTTAAGACTCTTACCCTCAAGAGTCTTCGGAGTCAATCCTGTTTGATCCGCTCGGAAAATATCGGTCGCCGGTATCACCGATGTCCGAGAATATCCGAGGTCGGCGGCCGAAGT